GCTAGAGACCGAACTGTCCGGTCTCGACATCGGTGTCCTGGGTGTGTATCTCAAGCCTTCGCTGTGTCCAGTGCGCTCATCACAGATACTCGAATACTTCGTTAGTTAATAACGCGGGCAAGTCCTATCACTATCCCGAGGATTTCCATGCCACGAAGGATCAGGACATGGAGGACATCGTCACCATCAATGTTTCCTCGGTAGTCAAGCTCACCAAGTTTGTTCTTCCCGGCATGGTCGAGAGGTGCGTAGACGTGTGCAGGAAGAGTGACGCCATCTCACCATGACGAATAGGAAACGTGGTCTGATCGTCAACATGGGCTCATTCTCCGGTGTTGGTGTTGCATCCCCCATGTTGTCAACCTACGCTGGTACAAAATCGTTCCTGTCTTCGTTCACCGGCTCTCTTGCCGAGGAAGTCCGAGGCAAGGGCATCGATGTTGAATGTGTTAACACGTACTTCGTCGTGAGTCTCCACATATTGCTCGGGGTGGCGCTTTCTTCAACGGACGTTATCTGGTTATGCAGGTCTCCAACATGTCGAAGATTCGCAAGTCGAGCGCGCTCATCCCAACGCCAAAGGCCTTTGTGCGCAGTGTGTTGTCCAAGGTTGGCCTCCCTTGCGGTGCGCTCTGGACCAAGCGCCCCGGAGTTGTGACTCCCTACTGGAGCCATTCACTGCTCGACTACGTTATGGTGGGTTTGGTACGTCCTGAGCGAGTGATGATGCTTATAATGTATCGGCAGAACGTTATTGGATGGAACATGGCTTTCGTTCGCTACACACACGGCCTCCACAAGAGCATCCGCAAGCGTGCATTGCGCAAGCTGGAACGCGAGGCTAAGAAGCAATAGACGAGAATCAAAATCCTGACCTGGGACACATCGGTCTTACGTACACTATACTAATACATGTTAACCATTTCGACATGGACCGCCACCTAAATCCAGCGAACTGCTGATCACAGTTAGAGAGTTTCTACCCATCGTTCAAGCTCGTCGTTGACTATTTTCGTCTCCTCGAACTGCACCCAGTGACCAGTGTTGAGCTCGACAATAGTCGCATGCGGAGCATATTTTGCCATTTCGGCTTTGCCTTCTGTTGCCGTGCACACGGCATCGCGGGCCGCAGCGATGAAAAGAGCGGGTTTTCTGATCGCGTAGGCCTCTTCTGGTATGTCTAAAGCGGATACCCGACAAGTGATCAGCCTTTGTTCACGTCGTCAGATACGAAGCGGTACGCACTTGCGCTGTCCTGATCATTCAAGCCGTCGACCATTGCTTTGTAGTAGTTCATAATCGACCGAAGTCCTGCTTTGGCAAGAATCTCGCGCATCACATCGTACTCCTGTGCGGCATGTCTCGTCAACCTTTGAATTCGACATTGTGGGGGTGGACTGCTCACCTCCTGAGGGAGCCATGGCGGGAGCCCAGACTTACGATCCTCTTGAACCCATTGCCGCGTCTTGCCCTGGGGCAAGAGCCAATCTTTCCAATCGTCCGGGTTGACTGGATAAACAAGTTGCATGAAACAGTCGATCTGGATACAGCCCTCTCTCGCGTTAGATTACCTCGTACATCCTCGCGATGTCATAAACAGATGCCTATACTGACATTCTTTGCACACATATGTGGTGCGTCCTCGCTGATGAAGAACTCCCAGTATCCGAACCCGCCAAAATCTGTCTTCGCCAACTTCTGTCCGATCGCCCAGTCTTGCCAGCGCGGCGGGATGTAGGAGAGCACAAGCCACGCGAACCCGTGGAACCGCTCGCTGTACAGGTTCGCGAGACGCGACAGCAACGCTGAACCCCTGTAATGCGCTGTCTCAGCGAATTTACAGGTGCGCGATCTCACCGATTAGCTTACCAGTCGTGGGCGATCCCGACGACCGTCTGCAGCCCCTCCGTGTCGAGCAAGTCCACGATATCGCGCGCCATCAGCACGAATCGGAATGCGTCCGCGCTGTCAGGCTTGGACGTGCCGCCTGCGCCGAGGAGGTCCGGGACGAGGAGCCCGAAGCCCCGCGCGTGAAAATGCTCGATCTGCAGGTGCCAGTCGTATGCGCTCGAGGGAAAGCCGTGCAGGAAAAGGAGTGTTGGCTTGCCGGACCCTGGAGCAGCGGGCGCGTGAAAGTAGCGGTACGTGAACCCACGGGATACGGTCGTGCTCTTGAAGTGAGAGGGATCCATAACGACTTTTACAGGTGCTGGAGGAGTTCGGGTCGCTGCTGGTATTTGGTTGTTTCGCGGACAAGTTGGATTGTGCGGCACAGATTCGCTAGCTCAAACTGTGAGCTGAAGGGCGGGCGGCGAGGTCATGAGGGAACGAAGGTATCTCAGGCTCGACCGTTCTTATACAGCGGCCATACGGGAAGCCAAACAGGTGGTAACGTTCTATTGGCCAGCATGACTCATGAACCAACGCATGATAGGTCGACGACATCGGCGAGCTCCCAGGCCGTTCAGCACCCGTAATTGGAGAACGCTCTCGGACCACTTCCCGCGGGTACGATCAAGGTACACATATCATACTTCAACCTACGGAAGGTCGAGGCACGTTCAATCGCCCAGCGCTCCCGGATAGAAGTCGTTCTTGACCTTGCTGTGAGAAATGTTGTGTGGTCGCGGTGAGTGTGCATGCGATCGTTCAGCGGTATGAATAGTTCTCGCTCAGCGGGTCGCATAGACGATGTATCACAACGTTCTCGAAATTAACAGGCTACGTTTCGCGCACCATCGCAGCCTTCGCGGTCTCAAACAGACACGTCGCGCAAACCCAGCCCTTCGAGCCAAGCGTCCCACTCCGCGTTCACTCGTTCCGTCGCTTCCAGCTGGATCCAATGGCCCACTTCGAGCTCAACTATCTTCGCCTGTGGGGCGTACTTCTTGATGTTTGGCAGACCCATCTCGGGCGCAACCGCTGCGTCACGGGTCGTCACGATGAACAGCACCGGCTTGCGGACCGTCCAAGCCTCATGAGGAATCTCTGCAGGCTACAATCAGAATCGGCGGCATGATCGCAGGGTGAAAATACGCACTCGCTTCGTCCGGGCAGTTCAGGGATCTGACGGCGGCTTTGTAGTAGGCCATCAATCCCTTCAGGCCGCTCTTCTCCAGAGTCCTGCGAATCGTGGCGAATTCCTTGCGGCAATGTCAGGCAGCGCGTCATGTCACATCGGCATGGGCTCACCTCTTGTGTAAGCCAGTTCGGGATCGCGGTCGTGCGGTTTGCTTCGACCCATTCTTGCAGCTTACCGACAGGCGTGAACCACTCGAACCACATCTCCGGACTCTGGGGGTACAATACGTGGAGGAACGAGTCGAGCTATATTACAACACGGGCGTTGATCTCTTTGACATCAAGCACAGAAGCACGGTGGGTGGACTTACGTGCCGTTCACACACCACATGCGCGTCCTCGGTATTGAAGAACTTCCAGTATCCGAAGCGAGGGTCCCCGGTGTGCACCTTGAGGTACTCGATCAACGCGTCGATGTCCATCGGTTGCGGGGACGGCGGTTGGTACGCAACGGCATTCCAGGCGTATGCATGGAACCGCTGGTCGTGCAGGTTCGCGAGGCGCGAGAGGATCCAGGAGCCCCTGTTGTTGTTGGGTGTATGTGAGCTCCTCGGCCGCCGCGGCACTCTGCATTACAAGAGGCGGCTCACCAGTCGTGCGCGATCCCGACGACCTTGTCGAGGCCTTCAGCGTCGAGCAGGTCTATGATGTCCTGCGCGATCAACTTGAGACGAAACGCGTCCAGGTCCTCTGGCTTGGCCGTCTTGCCTGCCCCGAGGATGTCCGGGACGACGAGCCCGTACCCCTTCGGCCGGAAATACTCGACCTGTCTGTGCCACTCAAAAGAGCTGGATGGGAAGCCGTGCAAGAGCAACAACGTTGGCTGTCCCGCCGTTGCGGGAGAGTAGAAGTAGTGGTAGGTAAGTCCCCGCGAGACTGTTGCGTCCTTGTACAGAGCTGAATCCATGGTGGAAGATGTCGTTGCAGTTGTCTGAGGAGAGGACGAGCACTTGCTCTCGTATATATGTATGCTCTCTCATTTAGGCGTGGACGAGTCCCCTTACTAACATTCTGCGAGCAGCCGGCTGGACACGTATGTTGGATGTGCTCTTTCAGCGCCTTGTCTGCCGCACCGGCACCAGGATGTTGTAGCCGACGCATCTGCTGGGACCGGACACTATTACCAACTTTTTGCAGGGAGCCGACTGGACGCGTAGGTAAGTTATTCCTTCGCAGACCCTGTCACGATACATTGTAGCTCATGCATCCCCTAGGATGGCTAGCTGCAAGTGACCATCCTTCTCGAAACGGACTGCACAGTGTGATGTACTTCGTCCGTGGCCGCAGCGTTTTCGCGATTAGTCATAATATCGGTAGCAGTAGTGGCACCGATGGATATGTAATCTGCATGGCTGTGGAACGAGGCGCGTGCTTGTTGACCGCGGACACATGGATTGAATATGGTGTACAACCGCAATGATTTGGACTGCCACCCTCATACTATTGTACCGGCGGCGACCTCGGTTGTCGCCCCCCTCCACCCCCTTACCTATGTCTGTGACCCCGTGAATCCCCCTCTCCCGTAGCTACCAGCTTTGTATTGCCTACCATAGGGCGCCGCTCTCGAGGGCAATAAACGAGGACATCAAAAAAAAACCCGCAATGATGAGGTCGGTGAGTGAGGCTGCAGCTATCGGTATACTAGTCTCAGGCTACTCCTGCGACGAAGAGGTGCTGGAAGACTTGGATCGGATTCTGACAGTCAGCCCACAACTTTCTCGCACAGAATGAACGGCCTTGTTGATGACGATAAACATACGACAAGATCTTCACCCAGCATTCACTTCGCCCAAGTTGATGCTGAAAAAGAGTGAATAGCATCCATGTACAACCGCTTTCCTCTGTGGTCATCGCTTGTATTCGTACTGCTTCCCAGAAACGATTTAGTTATTGTACAGGTAGTGCGTCTTACGTGTCATGAACCCTTGGCACAGTGGTAGCGCGTGAGATTCCAGCTCAGTCATGGAACATCCTCAAGGTCGTCCGTTCAATCCGGGCAGGGTTCAGCTTTTGCCGCGCACTCCTACGGTCTGAAGAAGCAGTGTTGTCACCGGTCTGACCACTCCGGCGTGTCTGACCGGTCAGTGATTGACCAGTCCGACTGACCGTCAGATCTTGATGCTGTCGAGATCGCAATCTGTGGCAGCGCTGAGGTCACTTAAAACCCTCGAATTGAAGCCGGACTCATTGTGTCGAGTACTATACATGGTATGTACATTAAAAGAAGCTGCAATTAATGGAATGCATGTGGTTGAAACATAGCAAGATAGAAAGGTGTAGTATCTATGTATGTGTGGCCGCCTCCGAGCCGTTGCTGCTCCCTTTCCCAGGCTGGCGCCTATGTTCCAGGCACGTGCAGTGCGACCGGTCTGACCGCCCTTGTCAGACCGGTCAAATAACTGGTCATGTCAAAGTGGTCAATCAAAGTCTGACCGGTCAGACCCTTTCTGCCAACACTGTGAAGAACTGTTCTCAACTTGATTCGTCCCATCTATCATCAATTACGAACAGGAGATTAGCGCGGGGATGCGGGCCATCCCGCACGTGTCCTCTAGTTGGTACCCACTTGAACTTCATGCGATGGGTTGCTGTACCTTTTGTTCGCACGCCTATCTGTGGTTTTATTCTTGACGGGAGCCTTTCGATATAAGAGCATTGAGTACATTGAACGTACTGAATCCAGGTGACATGGTGTAATTGTCATCCTTGCCCATAAATTAAATGAACAATATCATCAAGGATTAAATACATGCTTGCGGCCACTGAGTTCGTTGCTATAGATATTGTACCTGGTGTCAATCCCCGCACTTTACCCGTTGTAGGGACGAAGACTGGGGTTGAGCCAGTCGTACATCGCCAAGCCAGTGAACTGCTCGCCGCCGACCTTCCCGCCAACGGCCGAGCCGACCCAGCGATGGTAGATGGGCGTGTCAAGAACGAGGCTCTGGCCGGTGAGGTTGAAGCGGTACTCGTCGCCGTTGGGGAGCGTGTAATCGAGGACGAAGCCCTTCATGACGTTCACGCCGCTCGGCTGGTCGAACGCGAGGCCGTAGGGCGTGATGGTGACAAAGTCCTTCGTGCGTGTGCCGGCGAGCGAGCACTGGTTCTGGAGGATCGTGCCGGCGTGCTCGAGGAAGCCGGTGTTGAAGTCGCGCGTCGAGCCCGTGATCGCGGAGAACACCGCGGAGAGGTCGTACGGACCAACCTGCGCGTCGAGGAAGTACCAGTCATCCATGAACGCGTCGATTGGGCGCGGCATCCAGTTCGCGTCGTGGTAGCCCTTGCCGCTGAACACGAGCGGCGTCCCGCTGAGCACGACCGCGACCTTGGCGCTCCCGCCGGGCTGCGACGTCGCCCAACCGAGCTGCTTGAAGAAGATCTCCTCGTTCTCCGTGAGCGTGGCGTCCGCCGGGACGACGCTCTCAAAGTAGGCCGAGGAGGTGGTGTTGCACCCGAAGTGCGAGGGGCCGTCGCTCGTGATCTCGAGCGCGCCCGTCACGCCGAGCTCGGGCGCGTCGAGCGCCACGGTGAACGTCTTCAGATCGGCGGAATTGTGGAAGAGGCCCGCGCCTGGCCACGACCCTGTGACAGCTTCGCCCTGGTAGGTGACGGAGGACGAGCTCGCGGGGATGGTGTACGCGAAGACGGTGCCGTTCCATCAGGAAAAACCTCCCGGCATAATGAGATGTAAATTAGGGATGCCGTCCAAATAATGCCAATTGTAGCATATAATGTGCACTCAGACGGACGGTACAGTTCTAACGTTCATGTTCTGCCACTCATGAAATCCTTTTTGTAATAATGCCCTAATAAATCATCTTATATGTATTACGATCTGCGAAGCTATTGACGAAGAATGAAGTGCAGTCTTCTAGTACAGTACTCGAGGCCCATGTTCGAGGCACGGCAGCACCGAAATCCGGGAATAGGTGACACGACCGAGCAATATTCTGTACAGGGACGATGCTAGCGATGCGGTCACCACGTCGTAACGACCGTGAAATCTTGTACAACCCGTGATCCGGATGTGGTGTGGATGGGAACGACGTAAACCACTCGACATATGCAAGATGTTCCGGGCGTGCTACGGCGTGATTTGGGAAGAGAACAGACATCGCGCTGTCCGGGATCTTGAACACGACGCGGACTTGCGCAACACGATAGCCTATGCTCGTAATCGATTCAGCTCTTCATGTCACCATGGACGGCAGCGCCATACTACACAAGTGGTAGCTACATACCTGACGTGCCCGTCGGACCTCCAGTGCCAGTGTTGATAAGAACAGTGTCGAACCGGGCAGGTACTGCATTGTCGTACTTATTCTTTCGAGCGGGTTGGACGTGGACAATGTCGGCGACCTGGGTGAGTGAGAGTAGGCCCTGTGGATCGTCGATCCAGAGCTTGATCCGATGGAAAACCGAGACCTTTCGAAATGGGAAGTACACTCCTGCTGACTTGCGCTCGATTTCGACATGGGTGAGGGTGGAGGTTAAGTCATTATGCTCGACGACAAACCGGGCGAGTGCATCTCGGAAGTACTTCGCACCATACTTTGCAGCGATGTCCCCGAATGGTATAGCTTTCGCAGATGGGTGACGCGTCATCTGTAAACGCGGTCGGCGGGTGGGCGGAGTCGTGCCCTTGGGATACAACCTAGGGCGTCCTCCTTGCGAATTAGGGGATGCTCGTGATAACCCCGTGGTGCTTGGGTGGTTCAGAGGGTTTGATGCTCCACCGGGGGGGGCGTGAGAAGGCTGAGGTCGTGCTGAGAGCTGTGGGAGACTGTGGGTTGGCAGCGCAGACAGCAGGAGGTTGAGTGAGGTTGACCACTCAGATGTCGATGAGGCGTCACCGACAGCAGTAAGGATGATATCTAAATGGAACAATCAGTATACACTTCGTTGATGATGCTACCACACCCGGCGCTGACACACCTGTTTGAAGACGCCATGCGATATAAGCCTCGTGTTGTTGCATCTTCTCCCGTCGCTCGAGCCAGATAGTCATTTGAGAAAACTCGTCCTTGTGGTTGGTCGCCCGATACGCCTCTTTTGTGAAGTCGATATGTAGCCGCTCGGAGAACTGTGTGTCGTAGTTGTCTGTCGTACCATAGAGCTCGATGCAACGCCGATAGTGGCCGAGGAAGTGGAGCTTGGGTAGCTTGAAGTGTTCCCTGATCCCTAGATCGACAAACACGCCCTTGTTGGCATGAAACATTTCCAGAGCGCCATCCAGGAGCTCCAGTGTATCGCTCGTGTGAGCTGGGTACTGTGCGAGATAGAGGAAGTCAAGTAGAGCACGGGTGGCGCGAACAAGGCGAACTGGTGAGGCGCCGTTGGGAAGAGGAAGGCCGATGATTAGAGCTAGAAGGATGCGACACATATGTTGATGCTCTTGGCCTGTAACGTGTGAAAGCCCAGAGATGCCGCTCGCGAAGTGACGAAGACTGTGGTTTGGGGGTAGCCGGGCACATCGCGCATCGATCTCATCAGAGCCGTAGGCTTCCTGGATCCAGCTGATGAGGTGCTTGACGACGCCTTGGTACAACTGGTGGAGGATGTCTGGTGTGATTGCTTCGAAGACGTTCGTGTACGGAAGGTGTTCCCAGAAGGGATGGAAGAGCGGTTTGATCCCAGCCTCTCGACACGCTTTTGTGTATTCGCGAGGGCCTTCGTCCAAAGTCGCGAGAGCATCCAAGACCATCTGTAGGCTCCGAAGAGGGCGGTCCGTGTCCGAAGCCTGACCGAGCTCTGTTCGAGGAATTGGACACTTCGGACATTCTCCGTTCTTGCAGCCCGTCACCAGCAGTTGCTCCGGATAGTCGCCAACATGGACAGCAAAGATGGGGTGGCCGCGACGTACTAGGCCATCGCCGCTCGACACAGGAAGGCCGTCATAGCCAGCTGTTTCGAGAGGAGCAAGAACGCGCCCGAGGCATGCATGATATAGGTTTGCAAGCGTTCGGCGACGGGCGGCCTTGTTCAAGATATGTTTGAGCTTCGACGTGGGAAGGTACGCCAGTAGGATCTGTCCGCGACGAGACGGCTTGCATCGGATGTCCTTCGGAAGGTTGCCTATTGTCATATAGACGGGGTAGGCACTCTTGTTTCCAATCATCGTCAGCTGTGTCTTGTCTGAGGAGATGATAACTGGGATGACGGTGCCACCTTCCTGACGCTGGTCGAGGGCTTCCTGTCGAAATTTAAAATCAGAATGGTGCTATCTGACTGCATCGGATGAGATCTACTACCTGGACTGACCACCACCACTCCCCAGTGTTCATGTCAAAATATACGCGCACTGTTTCATCCTCGTTGGTGAAGTGGCGCTCGGGGGACGTCAAGAGAAAGGGCGCAAACTCCGGATCGCCAAAGAGTGCCTTAATACATTCCAGAACGTCCCGGTAGTAGACTTCAAAAGCCTCGCCTGCTACCATGATCTCATGCCGCTCAAAGGGGGGGCGTCGAGCAACCAGCTTCTCGTCGATAATTTTGTTGAGCTCACGTGAACTGCTGAAAGACAACCCGAGGCGCTCCTTCAACTGAGAGGAGACATCAGTGACAGTCGGAGCAGGTAACATCATAACAACTTACGTTCTCGATGCCGATGAGGTCTGTGAATGCCGTTGAACCTTTGTGCCGCAGTTTTGCCCAACGAGCAATCTCCCACTCGAGTTTAGATGTGAATGGTGCATAGATGTTTGTGCCGAATCGTGCTTCAACGCCGGCCTGGTACGCACCATACGTCGAGTGACTATCCGATGTATTGAGCGCGGCACCTGCATGGACGTTGGGATACCGAGTAACAACGGTCTTCGGAGTTGATCCACTCGAATTGATAGTCTGCAAGCCTGAGGGACGTACGGGATGTGGAACAGCCTGGAGAGAGGAAAGCGGAAGCTCAGATGGTAGGTGTCGATCGGGGATATGACTTTCTGTGTCAATCTCGGAACCAAGGTCGTCGAAGGCAGCAGGATGTAGTCTTTGTGGGGGCTTATCAGCATAA